TTCCATGCACATCCCACTGGGAAGAGACCCAGCACATGGAGGAGAGTTATATATCCTCTTTGACATTGAAGTCCCCCAGGAGGAGCTAGAGAGCGTCTCTGAGGAGAGGGAGGTCTGGATGTCCCTCCTGGACCTGTTGTCTCCGTGACCCGACCACAGATAAGTGGTAGAAGATGGACGGACATTTGTTTTGTTTGTGACTTCAGTGATTCATAACAAGCTTACCACAAGTTTCTCAGAGGAAAAAAAACTTGCTCCAAACAAATTTATTGTTGAATGTGAAGAATTTATGTAAGACTGTTTCCTCACACCCATTCATCACACAGACTTGTGTAACCATCCTTTATTTGGTTTTTGCAAAACTTGCAGCAAGTTGCACAGTAGAGTTCTTCTTTTTTTTAAATTCCCAAATAAATCACGGAAGACTGTACGTCCAGAGGAAAGTCCCGTATTGTGCCCTGATCTGTGTGATGTTACAGCTGAAATATCGTGTGTTTCTAGTTTTAATCACATACAGATCATGTCTTTATTCCAGCTGAGCAGTTAAAGCTGCATGTATGTAAATGTGTGTTTGGCTTTTGCAGCCTTTCTCCAAGCTACATCGACCTGACGGAGTGTCCGTACATGTGGCCTTACTGCTCTCAGCCCATCTACTATGGGGGAATGCCCACCATCGTCAACGTGACCATTCTCAACGGCATGGGGGTCACCGGCAGGATTGTTGACAAGGTGAGCAAACAGGATGGAGGGAAACCACCTTTCTGTTGTCACTTATAAACTGCATTCAGACCGCTTCATTTAGATGAAATACAGTTTCTCAGGTCTCTGTGTTAGCAGCCTGCTACTAAATGTGGGTAAAATAAAATAAATGACTAAAATAAATGTTAAATAGAATAAACTAAGTCTCAGTGTATGCCTTGATTTACACCCACCGAGTGAGTCGTAAGCCTCCAAAATATCTTGAAATGTTTTCAAGTTGCAATGCCTCGCTCGTAAACAAGTTCATTTAGAACAGGTTTTGTCTGGAAATAGTCTGAGTTGTTGCAGGGGTCTGAATCCACATGCAAGCCTTCTCAACTTCGTTTCTGTGCATCAGGAAGTGAAATTAAGACACTTTGTGACCAGCCGGTTGTAGCACTGTGCAGCCTGTTTTTAAAAATCACTAATTGCAAAACAGTAATCTTGACCGTGCACAACAAAATATGTCAGTTGCGTGAATCATCTAGAGTCAAAGAGTTTTTTTTCGGGATGAGTGTTTAAATGGGTGCAGGGTGGGGGGCATGGTAGATGGCATAATTTCCCATTGACTGGACTATGTAGCGCACTTATGTAGCGCTAAGCAGTTATTGATTGGGGTGGGGGGGTGTTAGGATGCGTGAGAGAAGCGTGAGAGAAGCGTGAGAGAAGCGGAGCACTACATCTGTAGCATCTTAGCTAGCGTATCTGTATTGCGCGTGGCTAGCTTAGCGCTATGTTAACATTTGAACAATGTAGCTGTCTGCCACATACACCAGGATTTTGCCCTAAGATTTGGAGAGTTGTGCCCCCTTCTCCACGGTCTCGACATTCTTCAGTTCAGTTGGACACCACACCAGTGCAGAGTGTCTCCATTTCCGGTTCCTGCTCAGTTTATGGTTCCGCCTCATCTGTGGTTCCAGGCGCTTTAAGCAGACAGTTTTGACATCAGCAGATTGCAGCCATGGATTGGGCCAATTCGTCACGCAGAATGTGAGCTATGAAGGTTCTGCACAGAGTGGGGGACCCAGTTAGAACAGAGACACACCTGAGAAGAACTGAATAGAAATTAAGAAATTAGTACTTAAAGGAGAAGCAGCTTTGGAGACCACAACTTCTTTGTGACTATTTGCACAGAAAAGTTGTTGCACAATTCTTTTTTAACAAAAAACTGAAGAGATACAACTTTGGCTTCACTCATCTGATCACAGCCCCGTAAGATGCCAACTTTATGTAGGTGCACAAACATGTTGGTACAACTTTACTGTGACTCCAGGTGAAGGTTTGTGTACATTTTTGTCTGTCGCAGGACTCTGGAATTCAGGTTTTAATGGCTGCAAATTCTGAGATGTTTGAAAACTCAACAGATCCATCAATAGAAGCCGAGCCGACGTGCTTTTGACCGTTGACACAGATTAAGCCATGAATTTATGCTTTAACGTTTGTTTGCATAATAAGGGAAAAAGAATCCAATGACTTGCTAAAGAAAATTGCAATCCATGATCAGAAATGTGGATTTACAGTAAATATTTAATGTTTATATTTAAGGTTAACAATGTTTTATTTTAGTTTTGTCTAGATAAGAGACTCCAATTTATGTTATTGTGAAATTTCTGTTAAGAAATGAGAGATTAATATCAATATTTGATTAATACTGACACTTGTGCAGGAAGTGATTTGTCTTTTAAAGTGTGCAACTGAACACTTGTTTTGTTTCCATTTTATTCACAGTGGATTATTATGATTTCAGCTGTGCACAGAAAGTTGGCGGGTTAAAACCTGAAGGCTCTTTTACAACATGTTTTTTTTAATTGATTTATTTGGCTGAGATATTGAAAACATCCAGGATTTTAAATACCTTCAGGTTTTTCAGAAACATGCCAGAAACCTTAATTCTGGGCAGATTTTCCTAATTCCTCAGTTGAAATTAAAGAGTTTCTGCTAATCGCTGCTTCTTTCCGTTCAGCCCGTCTGGCAGCCGTACCTCCCGCAGAATGGCGACCACATCGACGTGGCTGTCTCGTACTCACCTGTGCTGTGGCCGTGGGCCGGTTACCTGGCTGTGTCCATCTCTGTGGCCAAGAAAGCTGCATCATGGGAAGGAATCGCTCAGGGTCACATCATGGTCACGGTGGCATCGCCTGCAGAGAATGATGTGAGTCTATAGAAACGCTCAAGCAGAACTTCTCATCCATCAGTCGAGCTTCAGTACAGCTCCAAACGGGCTTCTTTAATAAAATGACACAACAACTTTATTTTATTTTTGTTTATGCGGTTTCATTCTTACTTGAGGACAAAGCTCTTTGTGCGTTTGTTTGATTTACATCAGGGGTGTCCAAAGTGCGACCCGAGGGCCATTTGTGGCCCTTGGTGTGATTTTGTGCGGCACATGACCGTAATTTAAGGATGGTATAATTTTGTCCTGCTTAAGAGGTTAATGCAGATGGAGACCTTCTGCAAATTTAATGGTGATATATTTTTATTTAATTTTTAGGTTGAACAACAAAACAGATTAAAAACAATCTCAAAATGAGAAAAATTAATCTCAATACAAACCTTTTGTTTTCGTTTCTTGGTACAAAGCACCACAAACTGTTACTGACTTCTACCAAAAAGTAGACTTTTGAATAATCATTCATTAAACTTTAAATATAACGTGTTGATTTAATAATCAGTAGAGAGAATTTGGAAAATTTAAAAAGAATATAAAGTGGTATTGTCTACATACAAATTGATCAACCTTTTCAGTGTCCGTTCAAACCTTCTATGAATCGATTTAGCGACTGCTAGCTGTGCAACTTTTCAGAACTTCAGTCAGCCTTCCATGGCCCAGAAGGACGAGGATGATGCTTTTATTTCTTAGAATAGACGAAACTTTACAAGCACAAGAAAACCAAAAACAGACCCAACAAATCAAGTAGTATTAAATTAATTTTCAAAAACTATATATGCTTAATGTTCAAGAAGCTTAATGTTTTGGTAACTCCTCCACCAAAATAAGTAAACTTGTGTTCCTTCTTCAAAATACTGTTCACATTGTTGTTGAGAATTAGAAAAAAAAAACATGTTGTTTTTTTTAATTACCGGTTAGCTAAATTTAGGTAATTTTGGCCCACACGTCTTCATCTCTGCAGTGTTTGGCCACATATAAAAAGTGTTGACACCACTGATTTAGAAGAATCAATTTTTATAAATGCTCCATAATCAGCTGACCTCTTCCCTTTTTTCTGATTTTTATTTTTATTTTTTTGTAGTCGGAGGTGGGACAGGAGCTGACATCCACCGTCAAACTGCCCATTAAGGTAAAAATCATTCCCACCCCTCCTCGCAGTAAGAGGGTGTTGTGGGACCAGTATCACAACCTACGCTACCCACCGGGCTACTTTCCCCGGGACAACCTCAGGATGAAGAACGACCCCCTTGACTGGTGTGTATATGTGTATCAATGATTTTAATTTTCCTGTACATCATCTGGGTTCAAGGTTTGTGGATACTTTTTTCGTTTCTAGGAACGGGGACCACATCCACACCAACTTCAGGGACATGTACCAGCATCTGAGGAGCATGGGTTACTTTGTTGAAGTGCTGGGAGCACCAATCACATGCTTTGATGCCAGCCAGTATGGTACGAACACATAACTTTTCTGAGACGATGTTCATTTAGTCATTTTAGGTTTTAGATATAAAAACATGTCTAGCTCTTAAATTGAAGTGTAATAAGTGGGAACTGACAGAAAGTAGAACACCTTCAGAAAGTAGGTAAATTGTACATTTTGACTTTAGGGTGCTTTTTGTTTTATGACTGTGTGTTTGAGGGTCGTGTGGCTTCGTGTCCCCACAGGCACGCTGCTGATGGTGGACAGTGAGGAGGAATATTTCCCTGAAGAGATCACCAAGCTGAGGAGAGACATTGACAACGGCCTGTCGCTCATCGTCTTCAGCGACTGGTACAACACCTCCGTGATGAGGAAGGTCAAGTTCTACGACGAAAACACCAGGTAGGCAGGTGTTTGACAGGAAACTGCTGCTGAGTGATGACATCACAGAGGGCTGGGCAAACACTAAAGGACCATCAGGACCATCTTTTATTTTACCACCTGCATCTGGTCGGGTCATGCTAAGTTGTTTGCTAATGTTTCTTTTCCATTTGAGGTGTTTTTATTTTCAACACAACACCTGTTGCCTACTAAATGAAGGGATTAAAGATTGAGCTAGCAGAATTAGCAGCAGCACACATCTGTTCACCTGAAGCCCTTTCATGAGAGGGTTTTCAGCTGCAGGACTTGAGCTGAGTAAATATTTGCCACAAATCTTAACCGTTTGGATGGAGTTATTTTTAAGCAGAAACATGGAACAGGTAATGACTTATGACTTAATGGAGTAACTTTTAAAGCAGCAGCTGAGATTAGAGCTCATTAATTGGTGCAGACGGAGCAGAACGGAGGTGGAGGAAGTAAATCACAATAAAAAAAGAACCAAATAATTGTTGACAAAATTAAAGAGTGCTTAAAATGCCTGACATTAAATTTTTGCAATAGATATGAATGCATTTTGGAAAGACTACATTAATAACATATTGCAATAAAAAGTTCATGTCACTGAGCTCAACAGTTGTTGAGATATTTGCTTGTGCAGTAACAGGAAGTGATGTCAAAGGGGAACACCTGCTTGTAAACAGAGCATCGCTACAATGGCTGACAGATACAGGAGAGAAGAATCTGATGTTTCTTCAGATATTTTGAGTCACTATCAGAGAGGTGAAGAGTCAGGGTTCAAATAATGTTTCAACAAAGACAAGTAAATTCCCCTCTTTAAAGAGTTTCCCTTTGATCTCACTTCCTGATTCACTTTGGCTGCTCCATGTTCAAAAGCAAATATGTCAGTTATATGACAAGATGAGAAAAATCATGTTTTTTTTTTTATTTCAAATTTCTTAAATGTTAAGATTTTTCACTTTTTGTGTTTGTAGGACATACATGCATGTCGCAGACACTTTAAAACACCCATCCCTACCCGTCACGTCTTTGAAATCAGACGTTATTAAGTGACGATTCTTGTCTGAGTGCGTTTATCTGGGCTGCCTTTACTTACTGCTGCAGTCATGAACTGTTCAGAGGAGGTGGAAGAAAACCACCAACAGTTTTCCAAAACATTTTTTACACGTTTAAGCCAGTACAGCCTTAAGCTTTATCTACCTTTGGAATAAAACTGTGATAACTTACTTAAAAGGCACAAATGTTTTATGTCTGAGGCCTTGAAAATAATTTTTTATTCAAGCAGCTTTGCGTTCAGAACAGGAATAAGTCCTGTGGTGTTTGTGACAAATTGCGCTCTTTATTGGATAAGATATTGGAACCTAAAAAAACCAAACACTCATTTGTGAACACTCTGACTCTGTAAAACAAACTGTGTTTGCTGCGGCTTCATTATGCAGCACCTGAATGATTAATGTTCTGATACCTGGTTAAAGCTTTACCAGCAGCTTTATCGTGTTATAATGATTGGAAGATAAACTGAGCTCCGTTGCTCGCTGGACTGCAGGTTCTTCCCGACTCCAGCGTTATTTATGTGTCCTCGCACTGTAATAGATCTCATACATCATGATCCTCTGGTTCAGGGAGGGCTGTTACTCACCACACCTGCTGCCCTGTTCATTTCCTGCACAATTTTTTGTTTACACAGATTTCAAATCATAAACACAAGCAAATACAGAAATCATGACTGTAAAATGCTGCACTGACTAACAGTTTTCTTTTACTGCCTTCTGTTAAATGCATTTTGTTTTATTTTCTCTCCGTAAACTTTCTCTTGTCCCTCCAGTGACTTCTGATCTGCTGAAGAAAATTCAACAAAACTTGATAAGAATTTGTAACACCACTAGACAGCATGTCATATTCTTTTCCTCACCCCAGCTCTTTGGACAAGGTCACAGATGTCAAAATTATAACAAGGTCTTTGCTTGCCACAGATTGCTGTCTTGCATTATCAGATCGATGACGGGCGTATAATGTGTCGTATGCAGCACTCTTGTTCTTTAGGCTGAGAAGCTTTAGCTCCTGTTTTGCTAGTTTAAGCTTTCAGCTACTGATCTTCTAATTTTAACTTTTGGCTCCTGTTTTTCTGATTTAAGTGTTCAGCTACTGGTCTCTGAATTTTGATTTCAGCTACTGATTTGATGATTTTAGCTTTTAGCTCCTTTTTTGCTGGTTTTAGCTTTCAACTAATTAGTTTATCTTTTAGCTCCTGTTTACCTGGTTTTAGCGTTCAGCTACTGGTCTTCTAATTTTAGCTTTGAGCTACTGATCTGATCATTTTAGATTTTAGCTACTGATCTGCTAATTGTAGCTTTTAACTCCTGCTTTGTTAAATTTAGCGTTAAGGTTTTGTTTTGCTGATTTTAGCTTTTGTTTTAATCATTTTAACTTCAGCAGTTTTCAGCATTTTTGCTACATTTTCAGAGTATGTGGTTTCTGCCATTAAATTTACATGATTGTCTATTGTTGTCTGTACTTCACCTGTGCTCTTTGTTTAAAACAGGTCTCTCTTGAAAATGAGTCCTCGAGGCTCAATGAGACTAACCGGTTTAAATAACGGTTGAATGAAAAAGTACAAGTCTCTACAAGACCTTTACATTTTATCACATCTGTGTTGAGGGTTCATTCATATAAAACCTGCTGAGAGCATGAAATTATTATTGTATGGGATTTTATCTTTGATTAGCTGCTCAGAAACAATTTTTTCATGTCAGTTTTTACTTTACTTACATGAGTGCTGGAGTTTGAATGAACCTCTGACAGTATTTGGTGATAATTTTGTTCCTGTCCGCTGAATTTAAACGGTTTCCGATGTTTTTCCTGCTGCCACCTGCAGGCAGTGGTGGATGCCGGACACGGGGGGCGCTAACGTGCCAGCTCTGAACGACCTGATCTCGGTGTGGGGAATGGCTTTCAGCGACGGTCTGTACGAGGGAGACTTCACCCTCGCTGATCACGACAGTAAGACCCTCGTACAGATTCATCTGGTCACACTTTGGAGCGTTTTACAGAAAACTAAAAGGTTTGGGGTGTCCATTTTCTCTCAGTGTACTACGCCTCTGGCTGCAGCATCGCTCGTTTCCCAGAAGATGGGATTGTGATTGCCAAGAACCTGAAGGATCAAGGTACCAGCATCCCTTTTAAAGTATTAAAGGCAGCAGAGTGCTGGCCGGCTGCCATGCAGGGTAACTGGTAACGCTTTAATCTGTGTGACAGATAAAACCCTGCTCTGTGTGTGTGTGTGTGTGTGCAGGTCTGGAAGTGCTAAAGCAGGAGACCGCCGTGGTGGAGGGAGTTCCCATCCTGGGACTGTACCAAACGCGGTCAGATGGGGGGGGTCGGATCGCTCTGTATGGAGACTCTAACTGTATAGATGACAGCCACAGGCAGAAAGGTAACGGCTCGGTTGAAGTTGCTTCTACCCATCTGAAGCTCATCACTTCTTTATTATCTCTTCTGGGTTGAATTTTGTTCTTTTCCACAGACTGTTTCTGGCTTCTGGACGCTCTGCTGCAGTACACTTCCTACAGTATGACCCCTCCCAGCCTCAGCCACTCCCACAGCAGAGTAGCACCCCCTACAGGTGCAGAGAGCCCACTGCCACAGAGACTGGAAGGTGAGAGAGGACGTTACTCAATGAAAACATTTTAAGATGAGTTTTAATAAAGCCCAGGTGAGTGATGGAGAAAAAGTCCTGAAGAATCCGGTTCCAGTCTGGTTGTAGAGACCGAAAAGACCCCTACGTTTGTATTTGGGGCTTGGAACGTGTCGTAAAGAAGTTTTAGTTGACTTTAATGTCCTCTCGTGGTCACAGAAAGCTACTAGCTCAGCTAAATAAGATGGAGCAAGACCATTAAGAGCTTTAAAGGTAAATAATAAGAGCTTAAAATCAACTCTAAAATGGACTGGAAGTCAACAAGGAGCGAATAATGTGTTCACATCTGGAGGTGTTGGTTAAAAATGAGACGCAGAGTTTTGGACAAGCTAAAGACGACCGAGGGAAGACTGGGAGGGTCCAACATTTAAAACATAACGGTAGTCGAGCCTCGAGCTGATAAAACAATTAAAAGGCCTTTCCCAAGTCAGAATAACTTCAGAAAGACTCGACCTTAAACAACTTCCTACTTGGTAACAAGTTCACTTTACAGACGTGTCGATGGCTGATTTTTTCAAATGGTGAATATCAACAGATTAATCGGTCTTTCTCTAACACCTTGTAAATAATTAGCACAATCTCATGTGAAATGCTGCTGCTCCCCTCTTTGCAACATCTGGAGCCCGACAAGCTGATGTTGGCTGGTTAATCACTCCGGTAAGGAGCCTACAGACGTTTATCGGATCGATGGACACACTGACTGTCATAGCTTTGAAAACGATAAGTAATGTGGAGTAGTCTGACAAAACGTGACTTTTTTATGTCCATTCCTCAGGAAACCATCTGTACCGCTACTCTAAGGTTCTGGAGGCTCACCTGGGAGACCCAAAGCCACGCCCCCTGCCAGCATGCCCCCACCTGTCTTGGGCAAAACCACAGCCACTCAATGAGACGGCCCCCAGGTAAAGTCCTGAGCTTGGCATATGACACCAAATGTGATTTCAACTACATTTCCCAGCAATCACTTGTCTCACATTTGGCTAACATGTTGTCTCCTCTCGCAGTAACCTGTGGAAGCACCAGAAGCTTCTGTCGGTGGATCTGGAAAAAGTAGCTCTGCCCAACATGAAGTCCTACCGTCCCCAGGTCCGACCCCTGTCTCCCGGGGAGAGCGGGGCCTGGGACATCCCTGGAGGTAACAGAGGACCATGAGTTTCAGTTATGAAGCGAATGAGCAGCTGAACTGAAATCTTTTGGTTCATGCAGAACTCCAAGTTCTGATCGGTTCTGCTGTTTCTGCAGGACGTTGAAGGAGGTTCTGCATCAACACGAATATAAGAGCTGTTTTTTAAATGTGGGACTCTCCTTATAGTTTTCTTGTTTATAGTTTTTTGTTACGTTTTTTTGGACTAGCTACTTCATCGAGCCTTCAGCGTTTTAACAATATCAAAATGTTCAGTTTGTTCAAGACGTTGCAGCTATAACTCTAGTTTGTAAGTTTTAAATTGATTAAAAATAATGTTTGTCCTGTTGAAACAAAAGGAGAATAAATCTGTGAACACAGACTGAGAAATGTACTTCAGCCTGCATTATTTTTAGCTTTGGCTCCTGTTTTGCTGGTTTTAGCTTTCGCCTACTGATCTGATCATTTTAGCTTTCAGCTACTGATCTAATAATTGTAGCTTTTAGCTCCTGCTTTGTCAAGTTTAACTTTTAAGATTTTGTTTTGCTGATTTTAGCTTCTGTTTTTATCATTTTAATGTCAGAGCAGTTTTCAGCATTTTCGCTACATATTCAGAGTATGTACTTTCTGTCGTTAATTTTATTTCTAAAGGTTATTTTTTCTGTTTCTTAATTTGAAATTTGATTTCTTGTTTAGTTTTGGGCTCATTTTCTGTCCATTATTCACGACAGACCGAGTATAATAATATAACCAGGGTATACGAGTAAAAACATTAGCAATTAAAACCAAGATGGTTAAAGTTGACCTGGCCCCGTGTGACCTTTGACCCCTCTCTTCCTCAGGGATCATGCCGGGTCGTTACAACCAAGAAGTGGGTCAGACCATCCCGGTCTTTGCCTTCCTGGGAGCCATGGTCGTCCTGTCCTTCTTTGTGGTCCAGCTCACTAAAGCCAAGAGCAAACCGAAGCGCAGGAAGCCTCGCATCAAACGGCCCACCTACCTGCAGCAGCAGACCGCCACGGCTGGGAAAAACCCCACGGTGTGAAGGCACCAACACTGGACTCAACCTCAGAACCGAGACGGTAATGGGGACAAATCAGGTGGAGCTGGACTGTTGGATCTGACATGGGACGGCTTTTTTTAACCCTGCTGGACGTGTCCTGGAGACATTTTTGTGCCTCTTGTTTGTGTTTGTGTGGACCAGTGGACAGTATTAGACAAACGTATGACATCAAACACACACCCGGCCTGGAAACGGGTCACATTCGGTCCGAGTAGACATGGTGTTGACATTTCCTTTCTGCTCTTTGACCAAAAGGTTTCGTCATGAATTATCTTTTTATATTTATTACATTTTTGTTCCCGCCCTAACTGAAGACACACTTTCAGAATCATGCAGAAACTTCCAGCATGAGGACGATAAAATTATCCGTGCCTGGTTTTCTACGTCCGGCCCACACGAGTCAAATCATTTTTTGTTGTTTTTATACTTTATATGATGAAAGAACTCTGACCAGGTTTTCTGTCCAACTTCTCCTTCAGGATCAGCAGTGTCGACAGACATGTTCAGATATATCTCATCAATAAAAAGCATAACCAAACTCTCCAGGTTCTTAGTTTTTATGTTAAATATGATCTGATCTGCTTGTTTGAAGCGTTTTCAATGGATTCAGTTCTTTATTCGGCTGTTTCTGTAATGCTTCTTTTAGGAACCAGAAGTGACCATATTAGGAAAAGAGGGTGGAGCTTGAGACAGAATTAAAATGTTTTAATCTTTTTGGGATTTTTTTTTTTTTTTTTTTTAAATCATGGAAATATATTTTCCACCTATTCATCCATTATCTTTACCTGCTTCTTCCTTTTCGGGTCGTGGGGGGTCACCGGTGCCCATGTCCAGCAGTCACTGCGAGAGTCAGGTGACAACCTGGACAGGTCTCCAGTCCATCACAGGGACACGGAGACAAACGAAACAACCATTCACTCTCTTACTCGCATCTAGGGATAATTTTAGAGTTACCAATCAACCTAACATGCATGTTTTTGGTCTGTGGGAGGAAACCGGAGTACTTGGAGAAAACCCACGCATGCACGGAGAGAACATGCAAACTTCATCCAGAAAGGCCCCCGGCCTGGATTTGAACCAGGGCAACCTGTTGGCTGAGAGGCAGCAGCTCTACCAACTGCTCCACCACTGTCCTGCCTGGAAATATATATATTTTTCATTAAAAGGACTGAATTCAGTTGATAATTAGTGGGGAAAAAATCTATTCATTCAAGTTTTAATTTTTTTTTTTAAACAAGAAGTCTCGAGCTCTGACTTTACCACCAAGTGGGGAGTGGTGGCGCAGAGGTTAGAGAGGTGGGCTTGTGATCCGAAGATCGCCGGTTCACGCCCCGGCCCCGACAACATCAAAAATTGTGGGTGGGGTAGGTGAAACACCCACACTTGCCCCCACCCTCATTCGCCCCACCCTGGGCCCATGAGCAAGGCCCTTAACCCCACCATGTGCTCCCTAAACAGGTCTCTCTTGAAAATGAGTTCTCGTGGCTCAATGAGACTAACCTGGATAAATAAATAAAGGCTAAATGAAAAAAAGTGGCCATCAGTGGTATTGCAGTTCCACACTAACCAAACTTTATTGTTTTTCACAAAGGTTTGTTTTTATTTTGCAGATAATCACGTTTGTAAATGCAGAAATTTCCTCGAACAGGTAAATATATATATTTTTAGGGGGCCATAAATTCAGACTTTTGTCCCCAATCCAGGAGCTGATTTGTCCGAACATCTACGTTTGAGCCACAGATGGCTCTAACCCTACACAATGATCACAAGATCATAAATCTGAATTCTTTTGTTTTGTTCAAATATTTTCACTCTAAAATGCGCTCCAGTACTGACAGATGCTTGTGTCGTTTGTGAATTCAGTTTTTAAATGCTGTTAAAAGGCGGACGTATTGTGCAATAGTCTTCGTCCCCCTCTAAAATTCTAATCTGCTCGAGATACTTTAATAAAACATCTAACTTATATGCGTCATCGCTAGACGAAATGTTACATACAGTTAATCCCAGCTTCAAGGTCAAAGGTTAACAAGACCGTTGCTTGTCTGTGCCATTGCTATAAATTAATGTATAATAGTTTATCGACAGACGTGACTTATGTGGCGTTCTTGTTCTGGTTTGCGGCTAAAGTTTGGACTTGCTACGTCTGAGAACGTCACTAAAACTTTGTACATCTGCCATGTTTGTGTCGGCTAAAGGATTAGGATTAAAACAGCTATGCCGGATAAATTGTTTCAGTATGAACTAGGATCCAAATTAGGATCCATCAAAGACCTGTTGAGTCCCGGCGTGAGTAAGAGGTTTGAGGCTGTTCGACTGGTGTCAGAATCATTTTTTTAACCTGGAGTGAAAGACTGACTGAAAAGACGAGGAAACACTTTTTTTATGCTCCTCGTTCTGAAACTATTTTGTCTTTCTTTTGGGCTTACCGTTACATTCCTTTCTTAGGAGTAATTACGGACCTGATGAAAGGACCCATCGGACTTCTGGGTTTGGGACTGATTCTGGGCTGAATTCAGTGATGCAGGTTGATTACATCAGAGGTGATGTGCGTCGGGGTTTGAGCTTAATTGGCCAGACCAGTCTGTGAATCTGTCACCTGTCCTCGTGGATGATGGCTCCTGCTCCGGGGCTAATCTCCCTTGGAACCTTGGGAAGCTGAGAAATGACCTCGGAGCCGGCTAGCTGCGTTAACAAGATTTGGGAAAGCCGGTGGTGAGAGGTCACATGTACCGTTTCCCTCCAAGGTTCCCAGATGGAGCCACTTCCTGTTTGGCCAGTCGGGTCACTTGGAAGGAACGCGACGACGGCGGCTCTGAGCCAAATGTTTCGGTTTGTTCCTTAGATTCCTGTACCAGTCCTGTCCCACCTGCTCACATGTCCTCGCGTCAGCCTCCACGTCTCCAGCTCAGCTCCTCAGGAACAAGAACTTAACGTGTTGCCAGTTGATCCCACTTCAAAACGCTCTGATGAACGTGTGAAAATTGAGTTACTGAACGTAACTTAAAACTGAATCAACCCCAGGCCCTGAAATGTTTTTTTTATACGCTTGTTGAAAAAACAGACAAATTATAGTCCTGATGAACGTCAGTGAATGTTCTTTTGTCTCGCCCATAACTTCCAATCCGCTCAAGATAATTTACCGGTAATTAGGCCTGTCACAATAAATAATAAATCAATTAATCGCATGATAAATGAAAATTATCAACCTCATTTTCATTTATCGGGTTTATCGTTTCTTCATCTCTTTCTACAGAAGACAAGGCTCAACTCCAGTGCTTTTCACTGACCTCTCCCTTTCTCTTTTCTCTTTAAAATTTGTTTTAACCGTCCAAAATCGTGTTTTTGGATCGTTAAAAACAGCTAAGCTGAGAAGCTAAGCTACGAGCTAAGCTAACAGGTCGACCTCAGGAAAAAACCTCTGTCTTATCAAAGCTCCAAAATTCATGGTTGAAACCTGTGCCTTTGTCTAAAAAGTTGTTTTTCTCTGCAAAAAGAAGGTGAGAACTTGTTTACTGATGTTTTTTTAATTAAAAGCTTTGTGTGACAAATGCTATGCTAAAGAGCTAAAACCACACTGTGTCCGCCATTTTGAGAAATGAAAAACAGGAAGGAGAGACAGCCCATGTCACATCAAGGGGCCTCCCTCCCATTTTTCTTAGAGACACAAAGCTCACACCCTCACTATCCAGCCTTTGGTTTAAACAGTTTTATACTGCCATCTGGTGGTCAACAAAAGGTACTACATGCTAAACAAATTAAACATTTCTTCTTAAATTTGACAATAATTACTAATTATTGTCAAATTTCAAACAAAATTATCGTTTATCGCAATAATTTCCAAGACAATCACCCAGTAAAATTTGTCATCGTGACAGACCTACCAGTAATCAAATTTCGATGCATTATCACCAGACAGAGTGCACTCTTTTTGTCACCCCAGCTCTTAGGGCAAGGTCACAAATCAAGGTCAAATGTTATGCAAGGCCTTTGCTTGTCAGGGCCATTGCCATAGATTGCTGTATAACGATTTTATGAGGGGCGTATTATGTGCCGTATGCGGTACTTTTGTTATGGTTTAGATCACATCATGAATGTATCACTTAAAGTTGGACCATTTCTTTTAAACAGAATGTCTGACAAAGTCTTCAGTCGATCCAAAATTTCTCAACAACCAAGCACTATTTTATGTTGAAGATCTTGTGTTCAATATTTTCCTGCTCTATTCTTCCAGACTACAGGTTCATTTGTGGTTCCTAGAGTTTCTAAAAGTAGAATGAGAAGCAGAAATTTCAGTTATCAAGTCCCTCTCTTCCAGTTTCTGTGCACAAAATGTGAACTCTGTCTACTTTTAGGACAAGGATTAAGACTTTCCTTTTTGATAGATCCTATAGTTGGGGTTAGCTTGGGTTTCCTAAGCTATCTGCTGCTTTACACTGCTGGAGGATAAAGTGACCACAATTTCTCCCACTGCTGTTTTTACCCTGCATGTCTGTTAACTGTAATTTTGTGATCTCTAATTTCTTTACAAACTACACCTGAATCAGACTTTTCATTAAAAAATATGGATATATTAAAATAAGATTTTGTTAACAGTTGACCGTGATTAGTTTTAAGAAAAGATATTGCGCAATGTGTGGAGCTCAGAGTGTGTGGAGCTCAGAGTATGTCGCGATAAGTCTCAGCTACTACCACATCAGATTTTAACTTAACGTCTTTAAAACTGACCGAGTTAGAGACATTTTTCTGAGGTCAGCTGGCTCTTATGTCCATCTTGAATGGGGATGACTCCCAACATGTAACTGGTTGTAGATGTGTGCTACAGGAATATTGCCTGAAAAACTTTACTGAAGAGATATTTTACTATTAGACAATTGACTCCATTGGGTAGTGACAAAATTATTAAGCAAAGATCTCACATGATAAGTTTACATTCAGAGTCACTCTCAACTACTACCAAACCAAATTTTAGCTCAATATATGTAAAACTAAGTTGAGTTATTACACATTTTAATTTTGCTAGTTAAATTGCGAGTGTGGCCATATTTAATCACTTTGACTCAAACAGTTGTACATGATGTAGCGTTTCTATTTTTGCACAAAGAAATAAAGCACTAAAAAAAAAAAAGCACTTTTTTTAAATTAATGTATTAGGGACTATTTTAAACTAAGCGAAGTTTACGAGCAGCCCCTGAAGGCAGCAGGCCCCGCCCCTCCTTCCCGCCTCCGCCGGGCTCACCTTGCTGTTGGTCGGCGTGCGGCCTCGGGAGTCCAGTGTCCCGGCGGGTCGAGAGATGGAGGAGTTGGCCAGGGAGAGCATCAGTCTGCTGGCTTCAGCCTCCGCCAAGTGTCCGCTGGACCCGGAGCCGAGGCTGGGCTCCGTGGGGGCCGTGTTCATCATGCTGAAATCCGCGCTGGGCGCCGGCCTCCTCAACTTCCCCTGGGCCTTCGAGAGGGCCGGGGGGGTCCGCAGTGCCGTCACCGTGGAGCTGGTGAGCCCCGGCTCATTTTGTGTAGGGGTCAAACAGAACTTGGTTTAAAATGTTAATGTTGGGTTATTGTAACTTAAGTAAGTTTATATATATATATATATATATATCCAGGAGCGGCGCAGTGATCTGCAGAGATCAATTAAGGTGATTAATTCACCTGACAGGTGATCAGATATTTCTGCTCTTCACACTTTTTTGATCTTTTTAGGATTTTCTAAAAACTTGTCACTTAAATTATGATTCATTTTAGTGAAACTCAATTTGTTTAACCCTAAAAAAGAATTAAAAATCCATTCATTTATTTCCATAATTGTTTTATTTGTTGAAATCAGGTTTCTCTTGTAAACGAGTCCTCGAGGCTCAATGGGATTTACCTGTCTAAATAAAGGTTGAATGAAAATAATATTCTCATCCAGCACTTATTAAAAAACAAAATAATCATTTTATATTGTGTTTATTAAAAGTGCTTAAGATGATACAGGGTATTAAAATGTTAAAACCTTAAGTTTTATTAAGATTTTTAGCCAAACGCACGTATTTTTTTAAACTTTTATTTTAAATATTCAGCAGCCAAAATATGTTTCAAAAAAGATTAAATCTCTTTTTGTTTGTCTCATAATTTACTCCCCATTTATTCCAGAAAAGACTTTTATACCCGTGTGATTTTTCTTTACATTTAATGTAATTATCAAAATGGACTTAAATATAATATGATGTTAAACTTAACATTTTACTGTAAGTTTCGACTTTGGCAACAACAGGTAAAACAGGTAAGTCTTTTAAAACTTTGCCATCAGAATCAACCCCGCTTATCTGTTAGCGAAATATCTTATAATCCACTGGACAGATTTTAACGGCACTCTCAGGACGTCATCTTTATACTTTTTGTCTATAACTGATTAGCTTTTGGAGCCAACACATTTCAAGATGGCCGCTGCAGCTGATCGACCGTAGCCAACTCAGTGGCTTCAACTCAGTCAGTTTTACAGAGATGGAGCTAAAGTTTGATGTGGTAGTAGCTGAGAGTCGTCCTCAACACACACTTTGAGGATTATGTCTGATGTTGCTCAACGTTTTTTCTTTTTATAGGTTTTGACTAAAACGGCTACAACGTTATCGTTTCTAACCCGACAGCTTACATGAAAGTGGAAAAAAAAAAAAAA